TGGAAAAGGGCAATGGTACATTCACACAAAGTTTAATTTGAAACTAATGGCAGCATGAGGAACTTACCTTTAAATAAAATCATACTTGTTCTCAGCTGTGAGATCTCAGGAGAATTTGGAATCCTGTTCAGAGCAAATGTTGCTCTGCGTCTATATTTCTTGTTTCTTTTAACATTGTAGGTGGTTCTGCTGGAAAAGATAATTTTCCTGATTTTAAAAAATCTTATCTTTTAACTGTAACTTAAGCTGAGCTGTTTGGGGCCCTTGGTGTTCGATCCTTTTTTTTTTAAAGCATTCTGTACCGAAGAATTTAAAAGTTGTACTTTGCTTCCCATTTTGCTGTGATTTAGCAACACCAGTTGCCAACTTTTTTTTTTAACTGCCTTAGATTCTTATCCATTTGATCATGGAATAATTGCAATGCTGCCTGTGTAGTTGTTACACCTTGTTTTCTTCCTTTCATCCAGCTCTTTGCATCATTCAGATTTCTTGTATCTGATGAGAGAGAAACAGAAATCATAGTCCCACCTGGGGTCATTGGGAGATTCTGCTTGCTAGATAATGGAAGAATCCGACATCCGTAGTTGAAACCTCTGGCGTAAAAGAGGATTGCCACGAGAGAATTGTGTTTTAGCTGCTGCTGTGATTCTGTCAGTGAGAAGGTGAAGAAATGCTCTTGGTGAACTCTGCTCAGCTATTTTGATTCATCTCCTATTTACAGAACCTCTGCAGAAGGCTTACTTTATGCCCTTCCAATAAAGTGGTCCATTGCTTCTTGGAAGAATGGAATTCAGTCTCTTTATGTTAGCATCTGCAGCAGCTATCAGTTGTACAGGTGGATTTGTGATTTGAACAAGGTCTGGCCCAGCCAAAGAACAGTGAATACCAAACAGCATGAGAAATATGGAAAATAAACATACTGTACTTTATGCACGTGCAAAAATCCATTTGCTCCTTAGGCATGCACAAAATAGACAAAAATGTGCCACGAGTGATGGTTGCCAGAGTCTGGTTTGTATTTTCCAACTGGATAACAAAGGCCACTTATATTTCCTGTAAATATTATTCTGTTACCTAAAGTAGAATACCGATTACACACTGGACTTCTTTCCTTTCAAAACAAGGAGAAGTTGAACATCGGTTTACTTAAGTTTTTCCATGATTTGCTCGAGATAACAAATTTCAGCAGGCCATGTTTAACCTCCTGCCATTTATGCTGACCATTAGCATCTTTAATCAATTTTATTAGAGAATAAGAAGATATTTATAAACACGTACTTAAAACCAATGGCATGATTTGGAAAAGGCTTTCTTGGCTCCAGACTAAATTGATGCATGTCAATGTGTGTATGTCCTTGAAGCCAAGCTTGATCCTTGACTGCTCTATGGATACTCGGCTGTCACTTCTCTTCAAAAGTATATGGAAATGGTTTATCGTTGCCTTTTCTCTGGATGATTTCTGGACTTCCAAGTGTGGCCTACAGCTTAGAGATCCCCCTGATTAACTCTGAAAATATGTACGCATGTATAATTGTTGCAATCTGTGTATCACGGTGTGTTTAATTAAGACTGGATTAACTGGATGCAGAAACAGTTTTTACATCGTTCTCCCCCCTCCCCTTCCTCTCCAGAAGAGGATCAGGAAATAGGGAATCATGAGAAAAGATTGAGCCAAGAGAGAAATGTGTTCTCTAAAGAGGATGGTGGGTAGAACAAGCTGGATGTTTGGAAGAAAAAGGTATTTTGCTGCTAAAAAAAAATCACTGCTATAATGCTTTACAGGAAAAAATTGTCACTTGCAAGAGGAAAAGTTGTTCATTTTCATGCCATCTCCCTAACCGTATGTTGGTTAATACAATTTGGTGGCACATTATTGCCACTGGTTCCACCACAAATCCGCGAAGCCCTTATCCGCGGAGACATAAGCGCAAAGACTAATTCGCGCCGTTCGAAGCGCTAAGGAAAAGCGTGACCCTACCGCGATGACATAATCGCGGAGGGCAAATCCACGCATTCCCAAGCACTCAGTACCCTAAACCTAAAACAAACCCTAAAACAAACACCTAATCCTAACCCTTACCTTAATTGAAATTGGCTTTCTGCCGCAGCGCCGTTTTAAAGTGCCCTTCTGTTGCCGCGCTGTTGTCACGGTGGTGATGACGCGCGGTGATGACGTCGCGGCTTTAGCGGCGCGCTTATGTCTCCGCGGATAAGGGCTTCGCGGTTTTGTCGTGCCACGATTGCCACTAAGGTTATTTGTGAATACTGTTTTGAAGTTTCATTTGTATTCCTGTCTATTGCAATATATTTTTTGGAATTATTCCCAATCCCCAGTCTTTTTAAAAAAAATCTTAAATCATGAGAACAAATCAGTGTAAGATATGTACATTCCAAGGGGTGGGTTTTGCGGTTTGGAGATTCCTTGTGGTCATTGGGCATGGTTTCACGTGGCATCACTGTACTTTGGGAAGACTATTTTTTTAAGTTTATTTAAAATTATTTATTTAAAACTCAATAGTTAAATAGGTGGGGGGTGGTTTCTATGCTGAAGATTCTTTGTCTGACCCATTAAGTGAAAAACTAACTGGCTTGTAATTTTAACTGGACCGGAAAAAGGTCAGGCAAGAGATAAGTTAGCAATTTACAAAAGAATGGCCAAAGATTTGATCATTCTTGTCTGCCTGATTTGGTGCTTTCTCTGTTTTGGTAGATTTGTTGCATAAAATTTACTGGGATATTCTCTCTGTATCAACTCCCCCAACCAAGCAGTCCTCTAGCACAGTGGTCTCCAACCTTGGCAACTTTAAGACCTGTGGACTTCAACTCCCAGAGTTCCTCAGCCAGCAAAGGTGGTCTCCAACCTTGGCAACTTTAAGACCTGTGGACTTCAACTCCCAGAGTTCCTCAGCCAGCAAAGCTGGCTGAGGAACTCTGGGAGTTGAAGTCCACAGGTCTTAAAGTTGCTAAGGTTGGAGACCACTGCTCTAGCAGACTCGGTTTCCAGAAAAACTGCTGGATGCTTTGTCTCTCAGGCAATATTATTCTTGGTGAGCCTTTTTATTTCCTAAATAAATTGGCTCTCTACAACCTGCCCTCTTTGCAAAACTGGAACACCAAAGCTGAGAAGTAGTAGCACCATCTTACCCAAAGAACTGGTTGTTACAGCCTGATTTGAACTGAAACTATGGATGGAAAAGCAATGTAACACTTTCTTGTGACGGTTCACTGTTGAATGATGCTTGTGGTGTGTTCCAGAAGGTCTTCCCTTCAGCCTGCTTCAGGTTGAATGTGTTTGGGATTAAACGGGATTTAAAGCTACAAAGGACGTCTACAGCCTGCCATAGAGGTTCAGCCCCACCGCTTTGTGTATTGCTGCCAAACAGCCTTTCAGCAAAACTCCAAACCTTGGTTGGGCGCAGAATGAAGGCTTTTGATGCACCCAATAAAGGAGAATCATCCTGAATGAGACATCATCAGCTGGATACATCGCGTAGGGACTCAAGTTGGGCCAATGGTGGTTTCACGCAATGATGGATTTGCTTTCAAATCAAATGTATTTATGGTGTATGTAACGGAAGGGAACTCTGTTTTTACCCAACAATGTACAGTCTATTTTCATCCATTTCTGTGGACAATTTGTAATGTACAAATAAACTATCCAACTCTAACTAGAAGCTGACTTCTTCTCCCATCTCCCCACATTAAAACCCGTCACAGGAGGAGGACCACTTAGTCTTGGGGAGCACCACTGGCCCATTAAAATCTAGTGTTCTATTTGTTTAACAATAATCCAAGGGATTGTAATTTGTTTAGCATAAAAATCCAGTGGAACAACTTGTGTCCAGAAGTTGTGGGCACTCCCAACACTGGAAGAGACTGGACAATAATTTCCCTGAAATGCTATAGGGTTCCCTGCCTGAGCAGAAGGTTGGATTAAAAGACCTCCAAGGTCCCTTCCAACTCTGGATGTACTATTGGGCTCATTCCTCCCCTTTCCCTATTTTAACAGAGTTGGAAGGGACCTTGTAGGTCATCTAGTCCAACCCTCTGCCCAAGCAGGAGACCCTACACCATTTCTGAAAAATGGAGTCCGGTCTCTTATTTAGTCCGTTAGTTGCTGATAGTTATTTTGTCACTCACATACAAGATAACAGGAATAGGAATAAACATAAATAAAAACACAGGAAATGGGTACAAATAGGACAAGGACATCAGGCATGATGGTGCACTGACCTCTTAGGAATGGGGTGAGGCCAACAGTAGGTAGTTTAAGATTACAATTATGTGGGTTTGAAGATGTTGCCAAAGAGTTAGGTAGAGCAGGCGTTGACCACTCTGTTGCTGAAGTCCTATCTTCTGCAATCCAGTTTGGAGTTCTTTACCTTGAGTGTGTGTGTGTATTGTGTGCTTGTGCATTAATGCGTTTGAAGCTGATGTTGTCATTGACAGTAGGATGACACAGGCAGCGTTTTTCTTGAAAGCTTCCAGTGATGGAAGCTCCCACAACTTCTGTTCCATGGGTTGATTGTTGTCACTGAAAATTGGAAAGACTCCATCAGTTCAGTTTTGTCCTAGATTTCAATTTGGGATTCAACCTTGGAGCACACATTTTCCCCCGTGGACAATGTAAGGAGAGTGGGAGGCGTCACAGTGCTGCTGTATAGGATCTGCTTGAGCAGGGGGGCTGGACTAGAAGACCTCCAAGGCTCCATTCTGAAACCTTCCTCTGAAGCTTTGCCCGAGGCACGTTCCGCTTTGCCTGCTGCTTCTACCTGGGAATTTCAGTTAAATCTAGCTGGGCCTCCCAGGAATCAGCCTCCCGGATCCTCACCGTGATCCATTGCAAAGAAAGCCCACGGTGGCATATCGGGACGGCCTCTTTCGACTCGTGGAAACCCGGCTCCTCCCGGCCTCCTCTCTCTCCCTCCTCCTCCTCCTCCTTCCGCGCTGTCCTTCTTCTGGCGGCCGCGGGAGGCAAGCGCGGCACCTGCCTGGGAGGAGCCGCCGCGCCGCGGGCAGGAAGATGGCGAGCGTGCGGCTGGAGTTCCAGGCCAGCGCTGGCGAGGCGGACCCGCAAAGCCGCCCGGTGCTGGTGCTGGGCCAGCTGCAGAACCTCCACCGGCTGCCGTGGGCTCACCTGCGGGGCAAGCTGCAGCCCAGGGTCACCGAGGAGGTAAGGCGGAGTCGGGCGGGCATCGCCTCGCCTCCTTCAAGCGGGCTCGCCTGCCCGACGCCCCTTCGCCCTTTTGGAAGGGGCGATGCCCCCCTGGCTCCCCCCCACCCGCGCGCGTCGTTCTTGCAGCCGCGGCCCTGCTGGCCTCGAGCCGGGTCGCCCTCCCCTCGCCCCTTCTCTTGCCAGACGGGCCTAGGCTGAGCCGCCAACCGTTCCAGCCGCGGCGGTCGGGTTGAATCCCCGGCGCCCCTGCCGGCGCCCTGCTCTGGGCGGAGTTCCTTCGGTGCTGCCCAAGTTGGGTGGTTTGCTTGCAGATGTTTCATTGTCCGAACTAAACTAGAATAGAAAGAACAAGAGTTGGAAGGGACCTTGGAGGTCATCTAGTCCAACCCCCTGCTCAGGCAGGAAAGCCTATACCATTTCAGTTTAACAGGAACAGAGTTGGAAGGGACCTTGGAGGTCTTCTAGCCCAACCCCCTCCTCAGGCAGGAAAGCCTATACCATTTCAGTTTAACAGGAACAGAGTTGGAAGGGACCTTGGAGGTCTTCTAGCCCAACCCCCTCCCCAGACAGGAAAGCATATACCATTTCAGTTTAACAGGAACAGAGCTGGAAGGGACCTTGGAGGTCTTCTAGTCCAACCCCCTGCTCAGGCAGAAAAGCATATACCATTTCAGTTTAAGAGGAGCAGAGTTGGAAGGGACCTTGGAGGTCTTCTAGTCCAACCCCCTGCTCAGGCAGGAAAGCAAATACCATTTCAGTTTAAGAGGAACAGAGTTGGAAGGGACCTTGGAGGTCTTCTAGTTCAACCCCCTGCTCAGGCAGGAAAGCATATACCATTTCAGTTTAACAATAACAGAGTTGAAAGGAACCTTGGAGGTCAGCCTGAGACATGTAACTAGGGATTTGAACTGCCGACCTTTTTGATCGACAAGCTCAGTGTCTCAGCCACTGAGCCACCTAGTCATTGGCTCTGTTTATTTTGGATAAAGGCTTGTCCAATCTCTTCTTCACATTTCCAGTGTGGATGGCTAGCGAGGATGGTGTTACCTAGTCAGGTAATGAAATGTCTGCAAGCCAATCACCAAGCTCGGAGACCACCGAGGACTTCAGATACTCACTTCCGTTGTTAGAACAGCTTTCTGCCTGGGGAGAGTTGCAGCCGTCTGCCCCCATGGAGAGCTTTGCAAGATGGAGAGCGTGGGAGTGTTGGTTCTCTTGATTCCGGTGGGGAGGATCTGGTCTTCATTGCTGTTAGTGCAGATTCCAAATTAAGTGGATTTTGAAATTGCTAACCTTGTGGCAATCTGCTGCCTGTGCCTTATCCCCCTCCCTCCCCCCCCCCATATCACATAGGCTTCCAGATGTTTGCCTGCCTCTTTTTCATATCTTGCTAAGGGAGATATGCAATGGCCTTCAGATAGACTTATTGCTTTGGTAATGCTATGTGAAGTCACAGATTTAGGCTGGGCCAAAATGTTGCTTGGTTCTTTGAGGTGTTGGGTAAACCTAATCTTTGTACCTTTTAAAGAGTTGTTTGTGGTTTAAGGTGTTTTGTGAGTTCAGCCGATGGTGTTTGAACCCATATGGTTAAGCAAGATAAACGTAATGTAAGATGTTCTGTGAATGGAGCCATAGATCACGCTGGCTGGGGAACTTTCTGAGTTGAAGCCCATCCATGTGAAACTGCTCAGAAAGTTAACCGGGTCTCCTGAAGTGGTACGAACTAGCTGAATCCCACTACTGAGAGAGGGGCAGGAAAAAAGGTGGGAATACACCCCTTCCATCCTCCCTTGTGCTATGCAACCTATGTGCTTCTAGGGAGGGTAGTCAAAAAACATGTTGGCATTGAAACTTTCCCAATTTTCATCCCCATGGAAATCATGGATCCCAGCATTCTTTAAATTAGCCCATTTAAGTTACCGTAGTTCAATAACTCTTACCCTACCCTTTCCAATTTTGTCTCAAGGTATCAGACACACAGACTTTTAGCATTACATAGGCAGAGTGTCACATAAGCCATAATTTGCTCTGCTGAGCCAGGAGAGAGGTGCAGTTTCTCTTTTGATTAATCAGCATGTATTCTCCCAGTTGAGCAATACTGACAAAGCATCGGGGCCAGCATCTCACACACTTGAGAAGCGTGTTGTGAAGGTGTGTGCCAACAGTTTCATTAAGGGACACTGTATCCCTTTAAATGACTTTTACCAGCTATTTTTATTTACTTTTCAACAGCTGGACCTCCCCATGATTGGAGACTTGTTTTGAATCTGGGCTAAAGCCTCTGGGATCCTGGTGGTGTACAAATTTGATTTTAATAATAATAACAGCAACAGCAGCTTTCTATTTGGCTTTTTTGAAATAACCCCCTTCTTGGGAATTCTTTAAATAGGCTCTCAATTCTTATGGGGAGCTATTAATAGCTCAATAGTAGTAACTGTGAGAGGGATCTTGGAGTCCTAGTGGACAACCATTTAAATATGAGCCAGCAGTGAGCAGCAGCTGCCAAAAAAGCCAACACAGTTCTAGGCTGCATAAACAGAGGGATAGAATCAAGATCACGTGAAGTGTTAATACCACTTTATAATTCCTTGGTAAGGCCACACTTGGAATACTACATTCAGCTTTGGTCGCCATGATGTAAAAAAGATGTGGAGACTCTAGAAAGAGTGCAGAGAAGAGCAACAAAGAGGATTAGGGGACTGGAGGCTAAAACATATGAAGAACGGTTGCAGGAACTGGGTATGTCTAGTTTAATGAAAAGAAGGACTAGGGGAGACATGATAACAGCGTTCCAATATCTCAGGGATTGCCACAAAGAAGAGGGAGTCAAACTATTCTCCAAAGCACCTGAGGGTAGAACAAGAAGCAATGGGTGGAAACTAATCAAGGAGAGAAGCAACTTAGAACTGAGGAGAAATTTCCTGACAGTTAGAACAATTAATCAGTGGAACAACTTGCCTCCAGAAGTTGTGAATGCCCCCACACTGCAAGTCTTTAAGAAGATATTGGATAGCCATTTGTCTGAGGTGGTGTAGGGTTTCCTGCCTAGGCAGGGGGTTGGACTAGAAGACCTCCAAGGTCCCTTCCAACTCTGGTATTGTAATTGTAATAATTATATTAATAGGGAGAGAGGGATCCGTGGATTGAAGGTTCTGCTTGAAGAACAGTTGCCTGCAGAAGACCTGACATTTTCCCCCTCTGTTCTCAGATATGGCAGGCGGCATTAAATACTTTGAACCCCAACCCCACCGACAGCTGCCCCCTCTACCTGAGCCATGCCACAGTAGCTGCTTTGCCTTCCCGGGTGAGTCGACACAACAGCCCCTCTGCTGCTCAGTTCCTGACACGGGTTACCCGGACGTGCTTGCCTGGAGGAACCAAGAGATGCATCCTTGTAAGTGAAGACGGGAGAGGAAACACTCAAAGTGGGAAGGGGGGAACTGGTTTTCCTTAAATGCTGACCTGCAATTTTTTTGGGGGGGGGGCGCCGCGGCCTTGTTTCGTGATTGTTCTCAGTTATGACGGTACTTTAAAAAAGTCACCTTGTGACCAGTCCTTGCATTGATCATCTTTGCAGATCTCTAAAGCAAAGGTATAATGACGCGGTAGCTCAGTGGCCAAGACGCTGAGCTTGTCGATCAGAAAGGTCGGCAGTTTGGCGATTTGAATCCCTAGTGCCGCGTAACAGAGTGAGCTCCCGTTACTTGTCCCAGCTTCTGCCAACTAGCAGTTGGAAAGCATGTAAAAATGCAAGTAGAAAAATGGGGAACATCTTTGGTGGGAAGGTAACAGCGTTCCATGCTCCTTGGGCATTTATCATACCGGCCACATGACCATGGAGACGTCTTTGGGCATATGTGCTAGTTGTTCCTGACTCTAGGGGGCGGTGCTCATCTCTGTTTCAAAGCCGAAGAGCCAGCACTGTCCGTGGTCATGTGGCCGGCATGACTAAACGCCGAAGGCGGATGGAACGCTGTTGCTTTCCCATCAAAGTGGTCCCTATTTTTCTACTTGCATTTTTTACATGCTTTTGAACTGCTAAGTTGACAGAAGCTGGGACAAGTAATGGGAGCTCACTCCGTTTACACAGCACTTGGGATTCGAACCGCCAAACTGCCTATCTTTCTCATTGACAAGCTCAGAGTCTTAGCCACGGAGCCACCGCATCCCTACACAACAACAAAACAATTATCATTCTTCCAGGAAATTAGCCACCCGTCATAATGCTTTGCTTATTTTAATCTTTTAACCTGCTTTCTGTGTCTAAAGCCACAGAATGGAAATGGAACAAAATAATTGTCTCCAGCATCATTGTAGCCCAAAAGCCATTGATGAAAATTACTCCGAAGGCTGCAATTTTCCAAATATAAGTGTGTAAGATGACAGAAGGGATTTTGATTTTTTTTCAGGCTACAGAACCATTGATTCTATTTTTTAATCCTCAGAATTGCTGACCAACAGGCAAAGCTCCAGCATAGTGTTTTTCTACCAGAGCAACTTCAAGATATGTGGACTTTAGCTCTAAGAATTCCCTACCCAGATATGTTGGCTGGAGAATTCTGGGAGTTCTCACTTCTTAAATCTGCCCGGATTTAAAAAAAAACATTGCTCTTGTGTTAGAAAACTAATATTTTGGTTTTTCTTTGTCTCCCTCCCAGATCACCGGGTTCTTGTGGGATTCAGGATTTTTAAGAAAGAAGTTTGAAAAACATGGATTAAACTCCTTTTATCTCTGTAAAAGCTTGCTCAACGTACTTTTTCTTTTTAAAAAAAATCAGTGCTGGTTATCTATTTCAGATGGTGTGTGAGCGCTCAGAGGTCTTCGCTTCAGCTTGTGCCATAGCTCGGGCCTTCCCACTCTTCACCCTTCGCTCCAGTTCAACTAGGCGTACAGAGAAGAAGACCGTAGTTGTGGAATTTTTCTTAATTGGGCAGAACAACGGCCCAGTAGAGGTTGAGATGCTGAAAGTAAGTTGACATTTTCCAGAGAATTCTTCGGATTACAAACAAATTATTTACAGCTAATCCTCACTTAATTACAGTAATTGGAACCAGAATTTCTATCACTAAGCAATGCAGTTGTAAAGCACAACATCGAGGGACTGGGCCACTTGGCGTCAGCAGTTTTGGCCCTGCCCGGTTGCCGTTGTAAAGCAAATCACTGTCAGTGAAGTCACATGACTGTAATGTCCGACTTCCTGCCAGCTTCCCCATTGACTTTGCTACTAGGAAGCTGGCAGGGGAAATCTCAAATTGTGATCACATGATTGTAGGACACAGCAATGGTCAGAAATCCAAGCCAGTTGCCAAGTGACCAGGCTGCAATCACTGTCAGGCCTGCAGCCAGTCACATGACTGGGGAGGCTCTGTGTCGGATGGAACTTTGAGGTTCAGTCATGACCAGTGGTGGGTTTCTGCCAGTACAGCCCGGTATGGTCGTACCAGTAGCGGCTGGGAGCAGCAGAGAGTGTACCAGTACGGTGGCTCGTTTTGCCCTCCCGCCTGCCCGGCTGTTTTTATGCCAAAAGGCACATTGCACATGCACGCACAGCGTGCGGTCCCTGCGTGTGCCCCGAAAAGCAGCTGGGTGTTGCCAGGGTGGTGGATTGCGCATGTGCAGCACACATCACACACATGCACAGCGCACGGCAGGCTCGTGCACGGACAGACCGCGATCAGCGTACCGGTAGTGACGGTTAGAGCAACCCACCACTGGCCATGACTACCACTTGTTCAGCATTGTCTCACGTTCAGTATCTGAACTAGTTATCATTAAGTGAGGACCAGCTGTGCTGATCTCTTCCACCAGGGAATAGTCCAACCTACCATTAAACAATGAACAATGAAATTAAAATGTGCACAAAGACTATCAAGCCTATCAGTGGTTGCAAAGATGACCATCAACAAGCTGTTTTGAATATTTATTTTATTTATTAGACTTATATACCGCTTTATAGGGCTTTCAGCCCTCTCTAAGCGGTTTACAATTTTTTAAGCAAATTGAGTCAGCAACTTGCCCCCACAGTCTGGGTCCTCATTTNTTGAGTCAGCAACTTGCCCCCACAGTCTGGGTCCTCATTTCACCCACCTCGGAAGGATGGAAGGCTGAGTCGACCTTGAGCCGGTGAGATTTGAACCGCTGAACTGCAGATCACAATCAGCTAAAGCGGCCTGCAGTACTGCACCCTAACCACTGTGCCACCTCGGCGCAGATGTAGGATATAACATCCTACATCTAGAAGTTCACACTTCCTGAATAGATACCCTGCAGGCACGTTGGATGATAAGACCCATTATCCCCAGCTTTTCCTCCTAATGAATGAGAATTGGATATTCTTGTTGATCACATCTAGAGAGGAGCTGGTTGGGAAAGGCTGTAATTGAATTGGGCATAAATATATTTTCTGATTGGGGATAATTGGGAATATTGACAGATTTCTTTGATGGAGTTCCTATGAAGTTACTATAAAATAAGGCCAATGTAATGCATATTTCTCCACACCTTAACTGATTCTTGGTCTTGTTAACACAATTTAACATTGTTTGGTGGCCAGAGTGTTGAGGAATACTAGGTCTTTTTTTAATCATTCCTTTCTAAGTATATATATATACAGGATGACAGAGGCTTGGTCAAACCAGGGGTGGGTTCCGACTGCTGCTACTGCCGGTTCGCTCAGGGACACAGTGCACGCACGCATGCGCAGTACTAAAAAAATTGCTTCTGCCCATGCTCAGAAGCAAAAAACAAGATGGCGGCACCTATGGTGCCCCTGAGAGAACCGGTTCAGGGGCATGGCAGGCCGAGTTACTATCTACTTGGCCAAACCCGTCTGAACCAGTAGGAACCCGCCTCTGGGCCAAACGTTGAATATTCATGTCCCATTCATGTCCCAAGCATGGGAGACCACAAGGAAGACTCAAATCTACAGCTAGACCAGGAAGTCAGCACACATCCTTGAAGGTAATTGCTGATTGTGCTGTTCTGAACAAAACTAAAGTCTTGCTTTAGTTTAGGTTGAGAGGCTCCATACCTCCAGCCCCTCTTATGGATCTAATCCTTCATTATTAAGTCCTACATCCACCATCTTTGCTGTGTTAAAATTGGCTAGCCCAAAATCCTTAATGCTTGGTCATTCATGATTCTTGAGTAAACGTAATACATTAAAAAGTTTATGGGCAGTAAGAATGCACTCTTTGGATGAAACAAAACTCTGCCAACACAGGCACCCTTTGTTATTTATTTTATCCTTTTTCAGTGTCTAGAAAGTGCTACAGAAGGGGTTAGACTGGCAGCTCGAATCGTTGACACCCCTTGCAATGAAATGAACACTGACAAGTTCCTGGAGGTTGGTGATGCCTTCCAAACGTTGCTATTTTTCCAGGGAATTTGAGAAATCCTATCTAGGATTCATTTTTGTTTCTAGCAAAACTCTTTGTTTTTCCAAGGGTTGCTTAAAAGGGGGATGGTTTTTACTTATCGTTTTATCCTGAAATAATGCACAGTTACAAACAGAGTTTTATGAAGCTGAAGGATTACATTAGTCTCTTCCTTGGCCTGATTGTAGGAGAAGAGGAGGCAGAGTTTAGGGGTGGAGTTAAATGTGTCATCAGCTTAGAATTGTTACATTCCCACAAATGGTCCATTCTCACCTGAATTTGGTTGATCCTTATCTGGCGCCAATTTGGTGTTGAGCTTTAGTTGACCAGATTTTTGTGTAAAGCCACTGTGGCTTTGCAACATAATGACATCTAAGAAAGAAATATAGGGAGCAGACGGTAAATGTGATAGAACGAAAAAGCTTCTCTCGGGTGAGAAAAAACTGCCTTTCTTCCAAAGAATCTCTGTAATAAGGACCCTGGGGAAGTGGATAGGTAAGGCCAGGGGGTTGCAATGACATAGCTTAAATGTTGGGTTTTAAGTGTGGTTTTTTGTTTTCAGCATAGTTGAAAGTGATTGGTTAGGGTTAATGATGATCAAGTGATGCCTTCTTTCACTTTATTTTTTTTTTTTTTGGAAGGAAATCAGAAAAGTGGGAAAGGATTTGGGGATTGTGCCAACTATTTTTCAAAATGAAGAACTAAAGGAGAAAGGATTTGGAGGTCAGTCAAAGCAGTGACATTTATTTTTTATTTCTTTCTCCTCTCCTATACCCTAGACAACTGTTTAACTCAGCCTTTCCCAGATGGCACTAGATTTCTTAAAGAGTTTGCTGTGCTGGATGAAAACTGTAGTCCTAGCCTAGTTTGAGAACACCAGATTAGGGAAGAGTGGCATCTATGATTTCAACCCCTTCCTCATTCTGTTGATCAAAGTCATTGATTGAATATGTAACGTCAGGCCAGTCGAGTCCTTGCTTAGTGACCGTTCAAAGTTACAATGGACCCCTTAAACACCTGCTTACAACTCGGTCCAGGAACTCCAGTGGATTGATTTGTTCAGTGATCCATTTGTTTGTTTTCTTAACTACCATGGGATTCTCAAAAGTCTTCAGCACAAAATTTCAAAAGCATCAATGCTGTTTATCCCACTTCTTCAAAATCCTCTTAATGATTTGGATCTTGCAAAAAATAATAATAATAATAAGACTTCATTGGTCATTGTTCTAGACATAATCCTTAAACTTTGTCAGATGCTGTTCAGAAATTTAAGGCTTGTAGAACAAACTTTAGAAGTAGGAAAGTGAGGAGCATGGGAGGACCTCAAAAGATGTTACAGACTTTGTGTAACTGTTTGAGCTCCTGCCATGTGTTTTAGAGGTTCCTCTACCCATCCCTTACGTAGGATGACAATATCGTGCTTAAAGTACAGATAGTCCTTGTGTAGTAAGACTGAAATTGCTTTCAGCAAAATGGTTGCAAAATGAACCACGTGACTGATGAAGGAAAGAGAGAGAGAGAATAATTTCTTAGTGTCTTCCTTCTTCTCCAGGCATCTATGGGGTTGGGAAAGCAGCCATTCACCCACCCGCGCTAGCTGTGCTCAGTCATACCCCAGAAGGAGCCACACAGACTATTGCCTGGGTTGGAAAGGGCATTGTCTATGACACTGGAGGACTCAGCATCAAAGGAAAGGTAGGTTCAGAGTCTGTTCCTGGGAGGACCTGGCAGGTTATTCTAATATCCATGAGTTAAATGGACTCCAAGAAATGTTCTCCTTACCCTTACTCAAATCTATGCCTTCACATCTGAACTGAAGGCATAACTGATGACTAACTGGCATTAGTTAATTAGTTGGTCAAATATGCAGCAGCATCACAAATTAGCATTTATACATACCCTTACCCAGGGGGGAAATCAACTTACCTTTGCTAGCGGTTTGCAAATGTGAGTGCATGCACCACCTCCATGCATGTGCAGGACCTTCGATTTCCGACAATCAGCTGTGACACGCAATTTAAATTAGCTAGAAAGCAGGAAATCCAACGATTCTAGCTAATATAAATTGCGCGTCACAGCTGATCATCGGAAATACCGATTCGCCCAAACTGGTAGCATTTTTTTACTACTGGTTCAGGCAAACCGGTAGCATTTTTACTGGTTTGGGCGAACCAGTGGTGTTTTTACTACCAGTTTGGGCGAACCGGTTGCATTTTTACTACCAGTTCAGGTGGACCGGTAGCATTTTTACTACCAGTTCAGGTGGACCGGTAGCATTTTTACTACTGGTTCGGGCGGACTGGTAGCATTTTTACTACCTGTTCGGGCAAACTGGTAGCATTTTTACTACTGGTTCAGGCGAACCAGTGGCATTTTTACTACCGGTTCAGGCGAACCGGTTGCATTTTTACTACCAGTTCAGGCAAACCGGTAGCATTTTTACTACCTGTTCGGGCAAACCAGTAGCATTTTTTACTACCTGTTCGGGCAAACTGGTACCATTTTTACTACTGGTTCGGGCAAACCGGTGGCATTTTTACTACCGGTTCAGGCAAACCGGTTGCATTTTTACTACCAGTTCAGGTGGACCGGGAGCATTTTTACTAGCAGTTCAGGTGGACCGGG